TCGATCGGATTTCAGGCTAACGCATCAGCAACCATAACTGCCGTGGGGTCTTGCCTCAGCTACCGCTGAAACCGGTATTCATGAGTTCCCCTGCTTGTTGTGTTAGCCATTTAGGCATTATCAACTCGATTCCAAATCTGTCTTCTCCGGCCTAGCCTACTTTTCGTTGGCGTCTCATTTAACTGTCGGCTCAAGTTTCTTTGTCATTGGACCTTCGAGGTTGTTCGAAAATTTCAACACAAATCTTGATTTGAGTGTCTTGTGTCTGAGGGAACTATCATGACCATTCCTGCTTTGGCAGGATAGACAAAGGCTCATTACAGATTGATCGGATCTCAGTTCGATGAGCCTAGATGTCTGAATCCATCCGAAGCATTGTTGACGTCCACAACTGTATATCCGCCATTCGCCTGGTGGATCCCTTCCATGCTCGTCACTATCGTCGACTGCAGCCATCCAAGAGCTTAGTTTTGCGTTACTTTTTATTCGACTGCTTTTTGAGGGAGGACATTAGTTCACTGGGCTGACCTCATGCAAATCTTTTTTATTGCATGCATCCGAAGCTTGCACTCCGATGAGTCACGTTCCGTTTCGCATATGCAAGATAATCTCAACTATATATGTCCTTTCACGCACTCGTGCAAACCAGCACACGTACATGCTCAAACATGCATTATTAATGTGTACCCTCCTGACTGATTAAGCCATTCTCTCGCTTCTTTACAGGCAGCAAACGTTTCACAGTGGTCTTGTCAATTCGTTACTAATGTAAAAAGTTAGAGACAATGTCCTCCACGTCTCAGCCCGACCCAGCCAGCCATCGGTGCATGCGTCCTTTAGCCATGATAGGCCGCGGTAGACGCCTAGCTTGTTGCTCGGCTGTCCTAACTGGCTTTGTGCCGCAGGGCCTCTCAAAAGCACTTGCCAGTCCGGCATGTGGCCTAGTCGGCGGCTCCTACTTACTTCATACACACATAGACAGACTCAAAGACGGCTGGGCGGGCAGACAGGCAGGCGGATGTATGGACATCCTGCGAATAAGGACAGAGCCCAGCTCATGCTTGGCCTCATTGCTACGTTTACCTTTTCGACCAGAGACATGGTGGTTGGCTTGAGCCTTTAGTGTCTGCCTCTTCACCTCGGCCCAGTGGCCCGGCCTTATAGTGACATGATTCATCACCCGTGCGACAGTCCTTCGTCTGCCACTGCCTCGTCTTCGTTTGCTATCTTTTCCTTGTTCACTTCGTCCTCTTTGTTCTTTCTAGTCATGGCCATTCAGTTGCAAACCCCCTTCCCCTCTTATTTATTAAAGCAGTTGTATCATTTATGTGAGAGGTATGAACTAAAAATTTAGATCATATGTCAGCGCACATGCCAATGATCTTTCTACTGTCTCAACCTCGTCTGCGTACGATCGAGCGATTAGCCGAGGCTTGCTTTTTTGTACGTTTGTGCTACTGTCTCGCCCGCCGGTGCTGCAAAGTTAGGCAATCATCTGACCTCACGGTCACTGCTCCAGCGAGCCATTTGGCTTTACTACTGAGACTGAGACTGATGCTCTGCCGCCTTAGCAGCTGTGCCATTGTATTAACTTGGTAACTGAAGCTCCAACTAGCTTTACCTTGGTGATGTCGGGATGATCCTAAGCGGCGAATATCTTTCCTAAGTTGTTGTGTGGTGCTAAGAATGGCGATACTCACTGACGATGCCGGCGAAACGTTTGGGAATGCACCATGTCCACGGTTCAACTTTGGAAATGATCATGCAGACAATGGACCCCGGACTAGGTGCGTTCCTT